ATATATATATATACACATTTGTTTGTCGTCTAATGTTGTTCTATTTCATTTGAACACATCTCTCTCTTTCTGGCTTTTTGTATAGATTTGTTCAATACGATGAAGAACAGCCATATATATACACACAGACACACATGCAAAGCACTAAATCTGGCACACTCGTGATTTCCAGCACATCTCTATTCCACAGAGCTCCTCTGCAACTTCAGCAATGACATTTCAACATCCCAGAATCAATGAGCACTGTGTTTATCATATTTACATGTCTGTGCGCATGTGTGCAGCTTTTTGTTACCCCTATATACTGTGTGTGTTTGTCACCCCTAATGGCTGTTTGCAGTGTGAAAACATGGGCTAATGATGTATGCCCATCAGTGTCCCGACCAGCCAAACAGTGCTGGCAGTCCCTGGAGATCCATTACTGCTGTCTCATTACTGCAGACCTGGGAACAGATCTAAAGACTTGAGATTTTTTGTTAGCTGATACATGGAATCAAATTAGAAAAGCAGGGATTTTCTATCATACTGAGGACTTCCAGGTTGACTTAGAAAAGTAAGCAGAATTCACTTGGGCTCTAAAAATACCTGTAATCAGGCAGTCAAATCTAAATTTGTCAAGGAAAGGTGTTCAAATCAATCATACACTGCAGTTAGACCAAGGTTCGTAGTAGTAACTTTCTTAGCGAATAATGCAACAAACAAGAGGGTAAAAAGAAAGGAAATTTTCACCATTTGAGCCAATTTATTTGAAATGGCAAAATACCAAAGCACTTGTCCTTGAATCTTCAACTAAATGAGGTCATGCAATAACTCAGTGCATCACAAATTCTTGCAGCCTATTGAACTTCTTTCTGATTTTGGCTTAAAAAGAAAGACGCACATAAATTGGATGCTTATACGCAATTAGCTTTGTCAGATGGTGCTGCTGACTCCCATCGTCTTTAGGCCTGTGTGTGCCATCCTAATCTAATTTGTCCAGCTCTTAGTGGGTTCTTCTTGTTGAAATGAGCTGGTCAATTCTGCATAAATAACATCTGAAGAAGTACTCTGATCTGAGATCTGAACTCAGAACGACTGAACTTCAGAGAATCTCCATTATCTGAGAATCAATGATATGAATCAACGAGCACAGCGGTCTCCATCATCTGTGAATAGGAGAAATTTGGAAGCCCTCAGACTTTTCCTAGAGTTCACCATCCAGTGACTTGATCTCAAAATATCCAACTGGACAACAATCTTAAGTCTTGTATGGTACAGTGGCCAGAAGTCACTCCCCAGTAAACAACACATTTCCACATAGCGACATTGGTATGGACCGGATCTGGCCCACACAATGTGCTTACACATGGCCCACATACCGCAAAGAAGGACGGCTGTTTGGTGGCCCAGATCAGGTTTGCCAGAGGCAACCAACACACGGGCCAGTTGCAGACACACTGTGCTGTGCCAGAACAGTTTCAGCTCTGGCCCCAGATGTCAGCCTAATGTGTACCTTAATCAAGCCATGTAATAACAACATGTGCCGGAGCATAATAGTGCAAAAGTAACATGACAAAACTGTTCAGACTGTGAATGGACTGATTCTTATATAGCGCTTTTCTAAAATGGCGTGTATTCGTATAGCGCTTTACTAGTCCCTAAGGACCCCAAAGCGCTTTTACACATCCAGTCATCTACCCATTCACACACACACTCACACACCGGTGATGGCAAGCTACACTGTAGCCACAGCCACCCTGGGGCGCACTGACAGAGGCGCCAGGATTACTCTCCTCTCCTCGCCTCTCGCGAATTACTCAAAATGCTCTATACAACATGCCACATTCACCCAATCACACACTTTCTCTAAACTGAGTGCTTCCTAACTACATTCA